TAGCCGGCCACAGTTATTCGTCAACGCGTCTACCTCCGGTGAGAGCCCTGCTTGAAAACCGCTGCCTTGTTGAGCCATGAGTGATGCATTTGAGAGTTAGCTCGGTATATTGCGTAATAAAAGCCATTATGCAAGCAGTTCAGGGTGCTTCTCATTGTCAGTGTTAGCCTTTCATCTTTCCGTTTGTCTACGTCTACTCTATTACTTTTCATTCAGAAGCACGCTTAAAGGCACCCAGCGCCGTGTTCTCGATCTCATGAATACCCTTGGTCTCTCGAACGCCGTCATGCGACTGATTCAACGGCGCTCTCATCAAGACAAGGTTCTCTTTTATGTTCTTTGTGGCGCCACGCTGATTCTCATGTTGGGTTTGTGGCGCTTTATACGTGGATGATCGATCTTCGAAGTCGTCTACTGTTATTGTCGCCGCTGCCACCGTCACTTTCAATTGACTTAACGTCCAGACGTCCCAGCGCAAGACCCAAGCACGGGCTGCTGCTTACGCGCACAATCGGTCGTATTTTTGGTGCTTGCCCACAGTTGTGATTTGTATTTCTATTTCGTCGGGAACTCCCCCTACCTTTTGTTTGTCTGTTGTAATATTATTGACTTATTAGTTGTACAGTTGATATGGAAGACTACTTAAATTCCTACTACTTATATTTTCCTTTATAAGGTAAAATGCACGTTAATGTAGAAGAGCGGGCTACCGAATACGGTATGAGATGGCAATGGCTGGCTTTTGCCATTTCCATTTCCCCCACGCCGAGGAAACCTACATGGAATGCTTTTTATTTTGAGCTGGCCGGGACACAACCATTTAGATGCTCTCCTGAGGTTACGACTTCTTGGGTTTAAAGAACTGAGAGACATAAGTCATCGGCTGTTTTATGCCCGCTTGGACCTTCATCCGGTCGTTCATTGTTATTGTATTTAGAGCACTTGAGTTTGACTCAGCAAAATTGCGACGGAATGTCTTCAGAACAAGGAATCTTCTAAATTCCAATGGCTAATTTCTTGTGGTTTGCGGGAAAATAGTCATTTGGCTGCGCAGGATCATCGGACCTACTTCATACCATAGGTAGCAGACATCCTCGGTGGCTGGGTGTATCTAAAAAATTTCTTGGCTGTCCCATAGGCTGGTGATTTCAGTAATTACCGTTGGCTTATCTCTTCTCCTTTGGCTTATATCGTAAAATAGGATCGAAGTTCTATGCTCAGACCCTCGGCAGTTCTGGGATGCCGAATTTGGTGACACCGAGGCGTCTAGCGCATGGTATTTTGGGTGCGGATGAGAGGTGAACTGTCAAGCACTTACGAACTAAAACATGGTTACTAGGCAACCATCTGTGGAATCTTGAACTGACTACAATGTAGTTAAGCTGACTGGTAGTATGGCCGTCGTCTGAGTAGCATGTTAGCAGATGTTTGTTGCGGTGCCGGAGGCACGTATTCGTAACAAACAGTCGGTTCCGATCAACAGAATTCACCTATTTTCACCTTTCTCCCATCGTGAACCAAGGTGTAAGCGACCGATAAGATGACTGGTTGTTATGTCATCAGGCGCATTCCGGCGACTAAAGTCTCCGACAGCAATCAGCAGATCGGTGGTTGCTGCTGCCCGACTCCCTCCTAAATCGTGATGCCAGAGACGAGGTCACACAGAGCACGGGACTTCGCGTGAAGGCAGTTTTCGGTATACCTCGAGTCAGACACAAAATAACGCGTGAGCGAACGCATGCACTGTGTCTCCCTCTTTCTTGCCTCAATCAACAGTGGCATGACCTTAATCCATCTGGACAGACCTCAAGGCCGTGGCTGCCGCTAGCCATCACTCCGGCCCTAGCTCGCCTGGCGGCTAGACGTGCACTCCGGCAGTCAAGACTTCTCCTGATTCTTGTGTACATAATACGTTGTTCCTACTACTCTGGCCTTCCCACCGACTTATCTCTACTGACCTAAGGAACCGGGCCTGGAAGGTCGCAGCCGTTAAAGTTGACCTTAATAGCCTTAATACGTTGCGATACGCCTTTCAACTAAATCTTGCAGCATCAAATAAAATACCTTTTTATCACTCTGCTCGACAGCGGAAGATGGTACGTACACGGAGACGACAGAGATATTTCTAAAATGACCTTTCAAACGCACGCAGGCCATCTGTTCATCCACTTGTTCCCAAGCAAGTAGTGCATAGTTTGCTTGTTGCGAGAGGTTAATCGCCACACCATGTCTACCGGGGTAGTCTCGTGGACCTATCTTTTAGATGGACTCCTTCCCAAAAAGTACACTAAATTACATGTCCTTCGCCGCTGGGTTCTCCTCCATTTACAATTTTCCTCCAAAGGCTGTGTGTAACGAGCCAACCTGAACCATGGGTGTTTGAACGCACCAAGGTCACTTTTGGCGCGGACCCAGGATGGAGATGATGTGAGTGAGTGTCAGTGAAGAAGCCGGCGCCCTTTTCCTTCACAGCCGCTGACCCCCTTCCCGCCGCCGTCGTCGTCATTCGTATCGCAGTCCCACACTCAATGTCAGCACTCCCGTCCCGCCCCTGCAGTCGCCCATGGCACTGCATTCCCCACCGGTAACTGATCAGGCATTAGAAAACACCCTCCATTCCAGATGGGTCATTTGTACAGAGCCTTGGTAATCCCCCGAATCGTATCCTTCCCGCTCTTTATTGTTTACCATTCCTTTTTATATCTACAGACCTTATTTCTTACTATCGCGTTATTCTTCTATCTACTTATTCTCTGCGTGTCGTGGTGATTGACAACCCCGTTCGGCGTTACTTCCGGAGAATCATATGTGTGAATCTCTCCTTTAGGTGTGTGCTAACCTCGACATTCCCGGCCCGCTACACGTGTTCATTATCATTTCAAAATCCTTTTGGCGTGACCTCGAACGTCAAGGTCATCGCAGCAAACCGATTTGAATGCCCCGTATCGATCTACCTACGGTACCTGCAGTCGGCCGGGTGCTTCACGCATGTACCTCCTCGTCCGAACCAGCTTCATCTCCACCAGCTTGGCGCAGGAAGCGGTTGGAATTTACTTTATCCTGAAGCTCTTTCAGGGCTGGCGCATCCATGATCCACTCGTCTTCCAGCATTTGAGACCAGAACAGCAGTTCAGCTCACTCAGTCCTTTTCAATGTGCTTTCTTAGCGGCAGTCTCAACAGCCTACAACTTAATCCTTCACTTCGTGTATTGCTACTATTCACTGAAAATGAAGCTGAGAGCAAAGAGGACATTTGATCACAGGCTGCATCGGAACCTCTACTTCGCCACCAACTACCTATTTTTAAGTAGTATTGTGGGCTGTGTGATCTGTTGGACGGGCTCGATACGGTGGCGGAAGGCCTTTGAGCAAACTGTTAGTCGAGTTATCCCATGCACAGCCAGTGGCTGCTGTTCCGACCGGGAAGACATTGAAACGCCCTGGGGCGGTATTGTTCGCCTCTATGAGGTCTGGCGTCCCTGTCTGCGTAATTTAAACGTTCAAGCAAATTTCACCACCACTACCACGGATCGTATTAATTCCCTCGTGCTGGCCTTCAACACTCGCCGTAAGGATGACCTCCTGACCTGTATGGCTGAGGCCTATCAACTCCAGTTTGTCTCTTGGATGGGTAATTATGCTCTCAACAGTCTGGTCTGCTTACACTTCCACGGCACGCATCTAGTCTTCTTGGGCCTGTGGCATGCCGCGGCGCTTAACGCACAACAAAAGAAGCGATACAGTGTACGCATCGGTGACACATACTTGAATTTGCCCTCGCAAGGACCATCCCAGTGGGTTAGGCATGGGTCCCTGATAGAGGACTATGTGTGGGATCTGCTTAATCGGCTGAATCTTCAGCAACGACTGAGTGGCATAAGCAGGACGAGTGGAGCATTGAACGGATTGCGGACTGTGCTGGCTCGGGGCATGGCCAATTGGACAGACAGCTCAGATGAAGAGTACCTACCGCGGCCGGCGTCAACTTCACTTCTTTCGCGGTCCTCCACTGACAGC